TAAAGATTTTATTTATTTATTTGACAGAGAGAGAGAGAGTGAGAGCAGGAACACAAGCAGGGGGAGTGGGAGAGGGAGAAGCAGGCCCCCCGCGGAGCAGGGAGCCCGATGTGGGACTTGATCCCAGGACTCTGGGATCATGACCTGAGCCGAAGGCAGACACTTAACGACTGAGCCACCCAGGCGCCCCTCTTTAATATTTTTTAAAAAGTAACTCAAACATAGTCTGGAAGTAAAAGAGTTTGGTGTTCAAGTTTCAGTCCCTTATTGCTTAATATCACAGAGAACAAATGTTTAGGACTGAATTCAGTTCCAAATAAATTCCCAATTCAGATCCTTTATTCAGTGATGCAATGCCCACAAAAAGAAGATAGCTTATTTTACACTGTATTTGATAATCCCAGCCAATAGCAGACTTTCAATTTCATTAGCCACCATAGCATTCATGGCCCCTACAACCTCTTGCATTTATTTCATGCTTCTTGATACTATGCAATTTTGTAATATTTTTCATGTTGCTTTATTTTGTCATTCTAAGTAAATTCAGTGATCATAATTTATATAGACTTTTCCTGGAATAAGATGGGTTCAGAGTTACAAATCTTAGTAGTTAATATGGCTGGTGAGAGTGACTTTGCTTTTTACTCTCATAACTCCATCAAAAAGGTTAATGACATTTCTTATTTACCCAGGGCTAGTTCCTACTGCAGTCGTGTAATTACTAATCTCCCTAATCTAAGACAACACTTGGTCAACTTGGACAACTTTCTAGGTAGAAGACAACTTTTCTCCAACTTCAATATCAGAAAATATATCATATTGCTAAATTTTTAAATAATTCACAGCTACAGACAGATAGTCTTAAACAAAATATTGCTCACAGATTATATTTATTATTTTATTAATTAAAGTTGCTGATTTCCATGTAAAGAAAAGAGGAAAATGGTATACATTTCTATTAAGTAATAGAGCAAGAATTTCCTATTTTGCAGAGTGGAGGGCCTGTACCTTTGGACAGAGGGCATAGCAAAATTCTGAGGAAAAGGAAATATTTATTTGAAATATTTATGCTTATCTAAAATACATTGGCATTTAAAATTTGGGAAAGACTGGCCATAAAATAAGAAATATGACAAAGCATGTGTGAGACTGAGAACCTCTCCAGGCATAGTTATTAAGAGGAGAAAGGAGTTGATGACCCACTCAGTTAAGAACTGAGATTATTTAAAAAAATAGTCCCTAAATCTGAAGTATCAATTTAGAGCTTCATCAGTGTCAGTGACTAATGGAGATGAATTAATAGCAAATTTTAAAAATCATAACCTAAAAAAACAAAGGAATTATATCACTTTCCTCATATTTCCCAGTGTAATTTTATTTTACAAATTAGTTCTGAAAAATTACCATTATCCATTAAATTAAATTCTTTAAGCCCTTAGCAGACAGTTCATCAATTTCCATTACATTAGCTATATAGCATGAATTGATCCTTGAAAGTTTATAAATGATATTCATTATTTGGAATATGACTGAACTATCTGAAAATGCTTTGGATTATTGCAGGTTAGTTTCAGAGATCCCTAAGAAAATGATTGCAAGGATATATTTTAATGTGATAAAACTGACATTTTCTTTTTAGTTTTATCTCAGCCCACACTGGACAAAATATGTTTTCACTGTGCATTATTTTAAGCTACCACAGATGTCCTTAAAATCTACAGATTCTCTATAGTTAGGCTACATCCAAATTGCTAACTTTAGATATAGAAGTATGTAAGAAATCATGAGTCTAATAAATGACATGAGATGATTGTATACATCTATTAGAAACCAATTGTCAAGATACTTATTTGACATTTAGACAGCAGACTTTAATATATCACAGAATTTTACTAAAGCTCTGAAGGAGTAGTGTGTGTGGGAGTTCAGAAGAGAAATCGGAGATCATATGTTTAATTTGGTACTTTTACCTTTACTCTGTCCCACTGGAAGTTAACTGTAAAATTAATAATGCATTTTTGGAATGGGAAGAATACCATTTTGATTGGAATAAAAGCAAGTGCTCAAATTGTTTTTATATTTCAAATAACTAAAATTCTTTATACAAGGCCTTCTGAAGCTACCGAAGGAATTCAGACTCTTTCCCTGTCAACAAACGGTTCATGAAAACAGAGGGAAGATATGTACCATAAACTACTAGGTACCATTGGTGCCAACTGATACATTCAAAGATTCACATACCGGTTTAGAGCAAGTAGAGATTATCCTATGGGATGCTGCCTTATAGGGATATCCGAGGAATAGATAAGGTGAAGGGGAAACAGAGAGCGTAAAATAAGGAAATATAGAATAGAGGTGGCTGAGAGATGAATTTGCAGGCAATACAACTTACTTGGAAATGAGCTAAGGTAAGTTTGGAAAAGAATGTGTAAGAGAATGGGAAGAAAGCACCCATTGGCCAATTTTAGTCATTTATAGTCTGTTTTTGTCTCCATAGTTCACATGCTTGGTTCCACCAAATTAGGCACTCCTATATCATTTCCTTTATAAAAAGGAAAAGAAGCCTGTTTACTGGATGTGTGAACTAAAACATAAAACCAGTTGCCCAAGCCTCCACTTTTCCTCCTGTAGTCGTCAGGATCTGAGGATTACTTCATTCTTTATCTCAGTTTCTCTGTCTCTGTCTCTTCACTGTCTTCTTTCTCTTAAACACATGCACACATCTCAACATGGGCAACATCTCCTAGTCTATAGGCAGAAATGTGAAGGTCAAGCAGAGTGAAAGATGACGATTTCATTTCAGTAATCATCTGTCTAGCATGCAAAACTGACTTCTCATTAATAAGTTTGCATATAAATAATAAAACTATAAATTCATAAATACTATAAATACATATAGGAATAATCTCCATTCTCATGCAACCCGTGTTTTGGACATAAAACTCTCAGTACCATCAGCCTTCACTAGAGGAAGGTGACCGAAGTGTAGCTCCTCCATCTTCAGCTGATGTCATCCATCAAACCATTGTGTCATATCCCATTTGAGAAGTGTACATCCCCATAGAGAGAAAATAGAGGGAATTTCTCAAAGATTTTGTGACCCATTGATATATTTTTAAGTATCACTCTGTCCCTCCTCATTAACTTGGTTTCTGAAAAGCTTTTCATCCCTTTCAAGTCCATGGTCTTTTGTTGGCTCCAAAGTGTTGTGACAATGAGAGTGTGCCGCTAGCCCATTGCTTCCCTTAAAGGATATTCTTACACTCTGACTACAACTTTTTTTGGTTTGGCATCTCCGTTCAGGCCCAATCCACACTGGCAACAGTTCACTGCTCTACCACTTTCTGCTATGTAATGAGGAGATCATTTTCTGATCTGTGAGTCAGACTTCCTTACCTGAGAGCCCCTTGGCAAGGTATTATTATGTGTTCCATCACTTTCATTTGGCTGAGTGAGCAAGAAGCAGGGTATGCATTTTACTTCTGCAGAGCAGATTCATAGAGGACAATGAAATATGGAAACTGGGTAGAAAATTAGATCTCAAACAATCCAAACCACTAATTTTGCTAAGTGACTTGGCTTCTTGAGTAACTCTCTGGAAGACTGAGCAAGAGACAGTCTTATTCACAAATACATGCCCCTGTATATTAATTAGACAGGGACTGTGTTTGGGTTTTGACAAATTATAGTGAAGGTCTAGGATCTGGTACCCTTGATTTTCAGAGTGAATGTATTTTATTTTCAAAGTTTAATACTGTGACTTGAACTTAATGCATCAAGAACTGAGGTTACTAGATAATGAATTCTTTGGTATTGAATGCACACATAAAAATTAATCTCTGTTTGCCTAAAACAAAAGCAGGCAATAAGCTCAGATAAAATAGACATATTGGTTTTGCTCTCAACTTCCTATGTATGTAACTCTAAATCTGCTTATAGTTCAGATGTTTATTTCTTGGAACTAAACGAAATAGAAAACAGTCATGGATGGGAATGAGAAGGGAAAAGAAAGCAGGAATTCATGGTAAAACAAAACCAGGTTTCATTGAATGACAGAAATCACAGCAGTACGTCAACTGCCAGGAGATTGACAATCAAATCAGACTGCTGTAATCTTCTGCTTACAAGAATTTTGAAGATCAGACAAATTAGTATTGAAGCAAGATTATTGATTACTCTTGGAGATTCAAAAATAATTT